CCGTGCTTAGCGCTTGGGATTTGGGAGCCCCTCCGGAGTCTGTACACACCCCCAGTGAACGCATAGTGTTGAGTGTTGAGTGTTGAGTGCGAGTGATGAGTGATGGAGTGAAACTGCTGTGAGGTTGTATTTATTTGTGCTGTTAATGCATTAATCTGTTAAACTTTCTTGTGGCATTTACTGAGTTATGGAATTTACCTGTTTATTTCTGTTTATTTTTAAATTGTGAAAAAAAACAATTGGACTATTTTACTTAGCTCGTCACTACTGCTCAGTTCCTTAGTTATTTCTGTTACTACTGAGTCGGTTGTACTCATACTATACCCTGCACTTTATGTGCAGATCAGGTGAGTTAGAGCGCGGCGATCGTTCAGTTCAGGCCGGCTATCTGTGGAGATTGCAAGGTAGCGGCTAGCGTCCGCATGACCTTGGTACTCCTTTTGTCATTTCTTATTTTGGACAGTTAGACACTTTATATATCTTAGTTTATAGTTTTAGACGCTCATGACTTAGTGACACTCCGATGTTTGGGGCTCGTTTTCGTATTTTCTATAATTATATTTAGAGTTGATTTATTTTATGAAAAATTCAAATGTTGGAAATGTTTTATTAAATTCTTATAATCGGTTTAGTATTAATATTTTGGGAAGTAGGCTTGCCTTGTAACACGATAGGCGCCATCACGACCATTGTTAGATTTTGGATCGTGACAACGGGTTCGTATTTTTATGCCGGAACCCGGTATAGGTACAATACCATATTTATGACTTGTATGTGAAATTTGATGAAAAACAGAGTTGATTTGACGTGATTCGGATGTCCGGTTTTGAAAATAAGAATTTCAATATTTTCTTGAAAATTTCATGTGATTTGGGGTTCAATTTGTAGTTCTAGGTGTTATTTTGGCGATTTGATTGCACGAGCAAATTCGTATGATATTTTTAGAATTATGTGCATGCTTGGTTTGGAACCCCGAGGGCTCGGGTGAGTTTCAGATAGGCTACATAGTGATTTGAACTTAGAAAAATTTGTTGGTGTGCTTCAGCTCTTGTTGCAGGCCTCTGATATCGCAATTGCAAGATCAAGCTTCGCATTTGTGACAATTGTTGGGTTCGCATTCGCGACCTACTCATCGCATTTGCGAAGAGTAGCTGTGGAGGCCAATGTTCACAATTGTGAACAATTTCTCGCAATTGCGATGGGAACTGGGGAGGGGTGCTTTTCGCATCTGCGATCCCATGGTCGCATTTGCGATCTTGCCCATGTTCGCATTTGCGAACTATACCTTGCATTTGCGAACAATGCATAAATGATAAGGGGTTCGCATTTGCGATGCCTCCTTCGCATTTGCGACATTTCCAGCTAGGTAAATGAGACTTATACGGGATTTTCTCCCATTCTTCAAATTTTCAAATTCTAGAACCCTAGAGGCGATTCTTCCAAGACCATTTCTTTCCCAAAACTTTGGTAAGTGATCCTAACCCACTTTCTTTCAACTACCAATCACATTTCATGAATTTTTAACCTAAAATCTAGGATTTCCATTGTATAAATTGGGGGTTTGGGTAGAATTACTGATTTTTGAAAAATTGGAATTTAGACCTCAAATTGAGGTCGGATTTCAAAACTAATCGCATAATCGGGCTCGAGGGTGAATGGGTGAATTGGTTTTGGTCCGAACCTCGAGTTTTGACCAAGAGAGTTCGGGGTCAATTTTTGACTTTTTGAGGAAAAGTTTGGGAAATTAAAATTTATGTATTGTAATTGATTCCTTTAGTAATATTTGATGTTATTTAGTGGCTAGATACGAGTGGTTTCGAGGTAGATTCTAGAGGAAAAGTTGTAATTGAGCATTGAATGGCATGTGGAGCGAGGTAAGTGTGGTGTCTAACTTTGACTTGAGGGATTAGGAACCCTTGACCTATTTGCTATATGAAATTCATGTGAGCAGCGTATATGTGAGGTGACGAGTACTTATGCACCGCCAACTTATTTGTTTTTCCTGTTATCTTCCCGTTCTTCTCATATTGGCTTTTTCCCTACCCTAACTGTTACATGCTTTACTTGTATTCCCATGCCTAATTGCTACTTGTTAGTCATTGTTTCCCTTTGTTGAAGGTATTAGTTATTCCGTAGTTTCATTGCCTCCTATTATTTGCTTAAGCTGGTTTATCGGTCCTTTTATTGTATATCCTGGATTGGTCTCGCTGAGTAGTATTACTTGTTTGAAGTTTCATAGTGTACAAGCTTCACATTTGCTTTGGTTTGAAGTTTAAGTATTGTGAAGGTTTTGTGAAATTTCTGTACTTACTGAGTAATTGATATTGATTTGGTGGGATCGGGTTGCGCATCGCAACAGGAGGAATAAGGGTGATATATTGAGGAGGGATAATGGTGAATTGATATTGTACGGTGGGAACGGGTTGCACGCCGTAACAGGTGTAATAAGGGTGGATTGTGGTGGAATAAGGGTGAACTGTGATTGTGATTATTGTGATATGGTGGGATCGGGTTGCGCGCCGCAACATATTTATTTATATTCTATTGTTTATGTTATTAAGAGGATATAAGGGGGGATTATGATATGTACGGTGGGATCGGGTTGCGCGCCGCAACAACTTATATGTTTATACTTTTCCCTGACTGTGTTAGTTGTACGATAGTCTTAAATTGCACTTAAGGATTGGTAGTAGCTAAACAATGATGAAATACTTTGCGAACTGTATTTACTTCCTGCAAGTTACTGTTTTATTTTATTCTGTCTTCCTTTTTGTTTTTATTATATACTGTATGCAGGCTATATTGTGAGTGTCCCTTTGTAGCCTCGTCACTCCTTCGTCGAGGTTAGGCTCGGCACTTACCAGTACATGGGGGTCGGTTGTACTGATACTGCACTCTGCACTTCCTGTGCAGATTTTGGAGCTGGTTCGAGTTGATCGAGAGGTTGGCTGTAGGATTTATCGGCTAGGAGACCCAAGGTAGACCTGTCGGCACCCGCAAGCACTGACGTCCCCTTCTATGCCCCATACTTTACTATTTTCTTTATTTCACAAACAGTTGTATTTTCTTTCGGACAAATACTTGTAGTAAAATCCTAGAATGTTCGTGAATTTTGACTCCGGATTCTGGGTTGTATCAATAGTATATATTTGAATATGTTATATATATTTTCGTGTTCATTTCGACTTGTTATAGCTTGCTTATTGTTAATCATTTAAACGTAAAAGAATTGACGAATAAATCTCTAACGTTGGCTTGCCTAGCAAGTATAATGTTATGCGCCATCATGGTCCCGACTGTGAGGATTTTGGGTCGTGATATTTTGGACTTAGGAACACGTCCGGATTGTGATTTGGAAGTCCGTAGTAGAATTAAGCTTGAAATGGCGAAAGTTGGAATTTTGGAAAGTTTATATTACATTTTATATCATGCATATAACATAGATTTACATAGATATACTCAGATACATATGATATATATGAAATATCATTGATGTTGGAGATATACAGGAGATACAACGGGGATCCACGTGTAGAGTCGTCTTGAAACTTGAGTTTTCAATCTAAAATGTGTTATAGAAAGAAGAAAAATAACATTTTGATATACATATTATTATTATGCTATACACTGTGATATACAATATAATTATTACTGTGTTATATAAATTTTAATATACAAATAAAAAACAAGAAAATAATTTTAAAAAATTTGGTAGATTTTTTGGATAACATTAAAGGAAATGGAACCTAATTTCTAGGATGATAGTTGCTATGAGAGAAGAGAGGGATGGTTTTTTTTTTGTTGCTATTTTTAAGGAAAATAATTTTGATGGAGCTTATTTTTTGGATGGTGGTCTATTGAAATTGGATATCTCAAATCAATTAAATGTCCTTTGCTCATGCCATTGGGGTGGTCTATACTTCCAAATCCAAGTGACAGTGCACTGTTTTTGACCATTTCGACCGAACTTTTATGATGGGCAACACAAGTTGTGTGTGGGACTTTTGAACACTTTTGTGTGAGGGACTTTTTAACACAAATTGATTTAAAGTGTGACACTTGGATTATGTATGAACCCATTTAAGCCTATTGGCCCAAAGATCACTCCCCACCCTCGCCTGAGTCCTATCCCTAATATATGTATGTGATATACTCTAACTAACATATGAAGTGAGATACTAAAGAATTTAAGCTAAAAAATGGGAGGAGAGAGTTCAGAGACATACGAGGATTTTGAAGCTGAGGACTCAGAATCATCTGAGGATTTGGAAGCTGTAGAGTCAACCGATCCTGATTGTCTAACAATTCCTAAATGCCGAGGAAATATTGANGGAAATATTGGAAGGCTGTTTGCAAGCGAAGAATCTCCTTTTACTATGAAGTCGGTTCAATTTGATGTGTTGGCATTGCCTGTCCATGGAGTTACAATTTCAGTATGTATATATTAGAGATGTTTTATAGTATATTGTTTTGATTTACTTCCTCCTCACTTTTTTGCTCATGAAGTCAGCAGGTATACATACATATATCTTGTGTATTTTAAAGGTTTTTGCCATTTTATGGTAGGAGTACGACAAACCTAAGCCGACTCCTGTAATAGGAGAACTTTCCGCTTCAGTAGAAAGTCTTTTAACTTTTGTCCTGGAAGATGATCAACCTGATTGGAAATGTCTAGTCTGTTTGTGTTGTGGTGAAAAGGGTGAAGAATTGGTTGAGTTTTCTTGCCGAGAACACCATCTCCACCTTGAGTGTGGGAAGCGATTGCTTGTAAGTGGCCGATCGAGCTAAACAAGATACTTAGAATTTTATTTTCTCATTTTCATTTACTCTAGTGTTTGATTTGTAAAAATTAGTGGAGTAATATTGATCATTCATTGGTTTAATATATCCTTGTTTAGAAAAGTGACAACAAGTGTCCTACTAATGCAGTAGATTCGATATTGCCAACTAAACATACATATATTCTCCTCCCTTGATAGCCTTGCTAGCACCTTTTTCTCTTATTCCTCTTCATCCTTTTTAATTAGCCAGCTATCATAGGCAGCGTTGCCTGTTAACATCTCCTTGTGACAGTGTGGACACTTGTTGTCACTTTTCTAAACAAGGATATATTAAACAAATGAATGATCAATATTACTCCAATAATTTTTACAAATCAGACATTAGAGTAAATGAAAATGAGAAAATAAAATTCTAAGTATCTTGTTTAGCTCGATCGGCCACTTACAAGCAATCGCTTCCCACACTCAAGGTGGAGATGGTGTTCTCGGCACGGAAACTCAACCAATTCTTCACCCTTTTCACCACTACACAAACAGACTAGACATTTCCAATCAGGTCGATCATCTTCCAGGACAAAAGTTGGAAGACTTTCTACTGAAGCGTAAAGTTCTCCTTTTATGAGAGCCGGCTTAGGTTTGTTGTACTCCTACCAAAAAATGGCAAAAATCTTTAAAATACACGTATATATACCTGCTGACTTCATGAGCAAAAAAGTGAGGAGGAAGTAAATCAAAATAATATACTATAAAATATCTCTAATATAAACACACGGAAATTGTAACTCCTTGGACAGACAATGCCAACACATCAAATTGAACCGAATTCATAGTAAAAGGAGATTATTCACTTGCAAACAGCCTTCCAATATTTCCTCGGCATTTCGGAATTGTCAGCCAATCAGGATCGGTTGACTCTACAACTTCCAAATCCTCAGCTTCAAAATCCTCGTATGTCTTTGAACTCTCTCCTTCCATTTTTTAGCTTCAATTCTTTAGTATCTCAAATAGATATATATAGGGAGAGGACTCAGGCGAGGGTGGGGAGTGATCTTTGGGCCAATAGGCTTATGTAGGTTCATACATAATCCATGTGTCACACTTTAAATCAACTTGTGTTGAAAAGTCCCTCACACAAAAGTTCGGTTGAAATGGTCAAAACAGTGCACTGCCACTTGGATTTGGAAGTATAGACCACCCCAATGGCATGAGCAAAGGACATCTAATTGATCTGAGATATCCAATTTTATTAGCTGAGGATGAACATTTGATCATTGCAATAAAAGTTATACATCAAACAAGAGGCTTATAAATGGTTTGTTCTGATCAAATCAAACACCACGAAGAGTCAAGAGTGTGCTCAGCACAAATCTGGCTTGTTGCCTTGAGGCTTCACAATGACCGTCACCGATTCACCATTATGGATAAGCAACAAAGCAAGAACATCTTTTCAAATCAAGCTCCAAATTTTCTGCAAAAATTACAGTGGAAAGAATGTCAACAATAAAATGAGAGATGTTTAATCTGCCTGCAGTTGTTAAAGTGTTAAAGGAGATTAAGAGTATAAGATGTATCATCATTCTCTAAATCGAGACATGAATTTCATCAACTACCTATTACTTTGCCAATGTACATTATTATTATTATTATTATTATCCAATAACAATAATATCCTTGACCCAACCGCAATTGGGTTAATATGATTCAGCGTTTCGATGTTGTTATGTGTTATATAAATTTTAATATACAAATAAAAAATAAGAAAATAATTTTAAAAAATTTGGTAGATTTTTTGGATAACATTAAAGGAAATGGAACCTAATTTCTAGGATGATGGTTGCTATGAGAGAAGAGAGGGATGGTTTTAATTTTTTTTTGCTACTTTTAAGGAAAATAATTTTGATGGAGCTTATTTTTTGGACGGTGGTCTATTGAAATTGGATATCTCAAATCAATTAAATGTCATTTGCTCATGCCATTGGGGTGGTCTATACTTCCAAATCCAAGTGACAGGGCACTGTTTTTGACCATTTCGACCGAACTTTTATGATGGGCAACACAAGTTGTGTGTGGGACTTTTGAACACTTTTGTGTGAGGGACTTTTTAACACAAATTGATTTAAAGTGTGACACTTGGATTATGTATGAACCCATTTAAGCCTATTGGCCCAAAGATCACTCCCCAACCTCGCCTGAGTCCTATCCCTATATATATGTATGTGACTCTAACTAACATATGAAGTGAGATACTAAAGAATTTAAGCTAAAAAATGGGAGGAGAGAGTTCAGAGACATACGAGGATTATGAAGCTGAGGACTCAGAATCATCTGAGGATTTGGAAGCTGTAGAGTCAACCGATCTTGATTGTCTAACAATTCCGAAATGCCGAGGAAATATTGGAAGGCTGTTTGCAAGCGAAGAATCTCCTTTTACTATGAAGTCGGTTCAATTTGATGTGTTGGC